CGGCGGCGGCAGACTCTCAGGCCAGCCGCCGTTCCGCCCACCCGTCCCCGGCCCGCCGCAGGAAGCCCCGCCCCTCGCCTTCGACGCCGGCCTCGTTCAGCCCACGTCCTCCCCGCATTCGGGTCCCCCAGGTCTCCGGGGTTCGCTCCACTTCTTTATCCCCCGGAACTGTTCGCTCTTTATTCATCGTTCCGTAGCGACGCTTTCCTTTGCAGAGATGGAAGCGGCGAAGAGGTGGCGGGTGAGCGCTGGGGAAAGTGAGGCCTGGATGGACAGAGCTGTACATATGGTGAGGGCTTACTCGCAGGGAGTGTAACCAAAGGGATTGTAACGGGGCCAGTCATACTGCAAGAAAAAGAAAACAAAGAGAGGTTTCGGGGTTAGGAGCTTTTCGGGGCTGGGGGACGTAGTACTGAAAAAAGACGAACGCGTGTATTGCGAAATCCGTTTTATGGACGACATCCACCCCTGAATTATTTTGGAATTATCTTTTGTGCCGTCGAGCTTACTCGGTTAGATGTCTCTTCAGAATGAACGATGAGCTTTTATCTTAAATGAGCTTTCCAGGTGATTTCATCGTTTGCAGGTCTAATTGCCAATCTGGAACTAAAGAGTTTGCTCTTGGAAATAAGACTTAGGCTCCTCCTAAATCATAAAGCCTTTTTTGAGGCGCCAGCTTGTGCAGCCAAAGCTAGCTATTTTATATTACCGAATTTATATAACGAAGTTTCCCAGCACCTCATTAGACAGAACTGCAAGTGATAGGGATCTGACCTGAAGACTTACTCGGGGATGCAATTCCACCTTTCATGGCTATACTAGTAAGGAAAAGCTAATGGTAGACATGAGTGAAAACACCCTTGAGAGGGCTTTGAGTGAACGCACATGTGATGAACAGGATCCTACCTTGGAGAGATGCATCCTGCCCCCAAACTTCATTTAAGATACCAGTCCTCAGTTCCTTATTAATAGGTGTTGCTCTACAGCAGTGTTTCTCAACCTCGCAACTGAACCTCAACTTCAATTCCCAGAATTTCCCAGCCAGCATGCTGGCTGGGGAATTCTGGGAGTTGGAGTCCACCCATCTTAAAGTTGCTGAGATTGAGAAACACTGTTCTAAGGACATACCATCACTACTTACTCAGATATAAGTTTTAGGCTGGGGAGAATACTCAACCACCTTCAGAATATACATTTGCCAAGTCATGTGTTTGTTTCTGTGTGTGATTTCATGATGACTTAAGGCTTACTTTGGGAACAGAAGTATGTGAGCATGCTTCTGCGGTTTATTTGTTAGATTTATATCTCATCTTTGGTACAGGAGCTCAAGGTGGCATGCATAGTGTTCCTTCCTCTTGTTTTTCTCCAGAAGAGCAACCCTATAAGGTAGGTTGGGCTAAGAGAGAATGATTGGCCCACAGTCAATCCCTCAGCTTCCATGTGGAAGATAGACTAGAACCTGGGATCCTCCAGTTTCAGTATACAGTAGTGTATTAACCTCTGAAAGAGATTAATATCTAGGAAACTCCAGCTCTTAGTGTTAAGGCTGGAGAGTTTCTTCGGAAGTAAAGAAAGATCAGGAGGCATGAGAAGTGTAAAGTAAAAGATGGAATATGAAGAAGTAAACAAACAAAGCCACTTGAGATTGGGAAAAGAAATTTAACTTGCACTTCTTGATTATTGCATATTAACCCAATGATTTTCAATAATGGAACATGCATCTTTTATTTAAGCATTTGAACACTTGAACATTCCTTTCTATGGATTATCTGGACCCTTTGCTTCTTTCTTTCACAAAGCTAGTTTTAGCCAGAAAAGGTTCCTTCTCCCAGAACAAAGCCTGTCTGTTAGACTAGTGTTAGTACCACTGTCTAACTTTCCTGAGAACTTTCATCCATATCTCTACTTTTGCCATCTATTGTATAATGATACCATACTGCATGCATAGCAGTTTCTTTGTGTGACTAAACAAAGGCATTGTAAACAGTAATGTAACTGGACCAGAGTAAGCTACTGATTCAAGCATAGCTTAGCTAATATATAACAGCTGTGTGCTGTGATTTTCTTGCTGTATGCTAATTTCAGCTTGTTTTTCTTTTGAGGATTCTGGGGGAGGTGGGGCAGGTGCCAGCAGATATGCCCTTTATTTTGCTATCTATGTGATCCATTCAATCAGAAACTTTGGTTTCTCATAGGCATCCTTGTACATTATTATTCCTTATATTGGGGGAAAAGGTTGTACAGGTAAACCTTGCTTACTGACTGCTCATGCAGCGATTGTTCAAAGTTACGATGGTGCCAAAAAATAAACTTGCAACCATGGCATGTGTTTATGACCTTTGCAGCATCTCTCTCTCTCTCTCTCTCTCTCTCTCTCTCAGTCATGTGTTCACTGTTACAGTCAATCAGTACGCATTGTCCTGTGCCTGACCTCTGCCTGATCTGGAGAGATTGGAGAGGAAGGGATTACAAGAGAGTAAGGAGGCACACAATGGGGAATACACATTGAAAGGAATGCGCTAGCACTGGCTGTTTGCCAGCACATTCCTTTCGATGTCTATTCCCCATTGTGTGCCTGCTTGCTTTCCTGTAATCCCTTCCTCTCCAATGAATATAAATACAAACATGAATTCCGTTCTTGCTAATTATCCCAGTGTTGGGGTGAGCATTCCAAAGGGCGGGGCAGTGGAGAAAAGGAAAGCTGAAGTAAAATCGTAAGCACAGTCACAGTTATGGTCACGTGATTTTCCACTTAGCAATTGCATCACTTACCAACTGAGTTGCCAGTCCCAATTGTGGTCACTAAACAAGGACTTCCTGTACTGGAGTAAATGCAGCTGAATGCATTGTGCTTCTGAACTTGCAATCTGTGATAAATATGACACAATATCTCTCTTTTAACACAACTGTTGCTAATTACTTTGTGTGTATTAATAGGCTAAAGATGCACTTGAGAATGGTGAAGTACCTGTTGGTTGCCTCATGGTCTACAATAATGAGATTGTAGGAAAAGGAAGAAATGAAGTTAATGAAACTAAAAATGTAAGTAATTTAGTGAATGCTAGCCTTTGAGCTACATATATAAATAGAAAGATCCTCAAGTTGGTATAAAGAATTGCCATTACTTAGGCTACGTTTAAAGCCTGTCTTTGGGAATGGCATAGCAAATTACTGTTTTTGAGTTTTTATG